CAGAGAGAATAAAATCATATCCATCTATTGACTCTAAAGCCGCGTGGTCAATTGGGTAGTGTGGTTTTCTCTGAAACAGATCAAAGTAGGACGTCTCCAAAAGGAATCAAAAGGAAAGACAAAAGTCCGAAATAGAAATAAGACAAAAAAAATCAGCTAATAGCAAAATTTTGCCATCGGACAGGGGCGTTCAATCATCTCGATGAGAAATAAAACTCTTAATGCGAAGGCAACAATAAAAAATCTCAAGCAGTCAGGCATCGGCTGAATGAGCAGATTTGCTTCTTAATGCGAAAAGTCCATAGACAGAGATAATCTCAGAGGTAATGAAATCATACATTTTTCTATCAGGAATGGGGCAATGCGCACCAAGTTTTAGGATAAAAATCAAAGTATATGCTGGCAAACCTTTCATTTAGTTTAAAAAGGATGTGGAAGGTATTCTTATATTGGCTTTACCAAATATCAAAGGAAGATTGCCTTTGGCATGTGGCTACTGGATTGTGTGAAGAAGATCTAGGCTTACCGATCTGCAACCCTGATGAATCTTTGCTGAGCTTGTGTCCATCATGGAACGGACATCGTAAGAGCTATGAACCACCAGTTATGAACATTCAGCCAAAAAACACTAAACCAAGAAAGGTGGCTAGCTGAAATTATACTTACTTCTTTTGCCTCACTTTGCGAGCTTAATGAAGCTACTTCGTGCTTGCCCTAGATGCATGTAGACGAATGAATTTGATGCATGAAAAGGAGGCATTGTCCCAGTGCCGTGACTAGCTTCTCGCTAATGAATGGATTGTATTTCAAAATGTAAGAAGTGTCATTCTTGCTAGTACAAGGTTTCAGATCCTACGATGCGCTGTAAATGATCGTGACTACTATGGCCGGATACACAGTAGAAGATGCGTTCACCTAGGTCCGCTTGACAACACGACCAAGGTGTGAAAATGAGTTCACTCCTCTTCTATCGAACAAAAGGAGACCTCCTATGCAATAGTCTCTTGTGTGCCAACCTAAAGAGGTTGTGGTTCTCAATTCAACCTAATCAAAATAAGTAGAACCAGAACATTTGTTGGTTGGCACACAAAAGCCTATGGCATAGGAAGTCATAGATTTTACACTATGAAGAGAAGCACGATAGATGCGGCGAAGACTAGAGCTAATTAACTAGCAGTAGACGTGTCTGATCATAGACGTGGTACGTGAAGTAAAGGCTTCACCATGAGAATTACTCGGGCTCTTTAGCCTCAAGTTAGTCTCCCATTCAGCTTGCGAATCCTGAATTTTATGGGCCTATTCAGCAAGGCGGAATATGCGTAACATCAAAGGCTTGAGACTGTGGAAAATAACGCTTCGAGTAGCGTAGATTGGGTGGTAGGTCAATGCGGATCCTATGGAGCAAAAGGGAGACTCTGATAAGACCTATGGAAAGAGGACTGCGGAATAGTACGACAGACTCTGATTAACATTTCCAGCACAAGAGTGAAGGGAGGTAAGGGGGCGAGAAAGCCAGCGTGGGGTGTGGAGAGTTCTCACGAAATCTGCTCAAAAGGACACATCATAACACATTTAAATGAGTAATTAAGAAATTGTGATCGTGAGGGGTGATAAGAGGACGTAGGAATGGTGAATAGCACAAGTGTTTAGCAGAAAATTGGTCAAAGGATCAGCTTCACTTATATCTTCGACGAATTGTAGTGTGGTGCTAAGAATAATAAGGCTCACTGGCGATCCAGATTACGATACTGGCGATATGTCTGGGAATGTACCACGTCCACGGCCAACTCTGGAAATTATCATGCATACTATTGACTTCAGACAAAGTGCGTTATTCTAGGTATTCCTGCAAAATAAGACCACGTTGCGAAAACAAGGTCAGACAACTTTTAAACAATATTTTCTGTTGTAAACCCGAGTAGGGACTTAAATTTATGCCAAGAGTTTAGAGAAAATCATAATATCGTGAGCAAGCGGTTAGGATAGCAGTTTTACACTCCCTTCGATCTAGATAACCAAGGCGAAAATGAATTCATCAACAAAATATATAAATGAAATTGAAGCCAAAATGGTGGTAGGCATGCAAAATGAAGCTTGATGACGCTGGCAACTAAATACTAATAAAAAAATGTAATATAATATCGAGTTTAGTCTAACGCAAATAATTTTGTAGAAATGAATGGAAAAATACTCGAAGGCATAAAAATAAAATAGCAATAAATTATTTTTACTAAAAAATATGATTTTGCAAAAAAGCCCATATAATTATCCTGTCGTGGAAGAAATCGATAACCAAGAAAATGATTTAAATTTAATGCACTATTGTACACATTTAATCGTAAGTCAATAGACCGAAATCAGCATCATCAGCTTGTTTATGTGAAGCCACACTTTATTTGCAATAGGTCAGGTAGAGACGCTGACCTGGATGCAGAATTTGTATGTATATTAGGAAGCCTATGCAATAATTGCCATTCGAAAGGATATCATTAAAGTTATCTAAAAGTATATTTTCTACAGCAGTGACACGTCATGCGACTATAGCCCTATTACTACTTCGCCAACTCTTGTTTACTCACCTAGATGCACCCGAAAATCAAAACCTGGAGGTAGCCTGATTACGGATCATCGTCATAGAAACTCTCTTCGTCAATACAAAGGAAAGAAAGGCCGATAAATTGTTTGTGGCCTGACGAACTAGATAAATAACAATCCAGAATCACCACAAGTGGCAAGTGCTTTTGAAATAAGTCATCCAACAATTAATATGCTACGTAATGCCTCATAGCATAAGGTAGAGTATTAAAAATATATGAGGATAAAAAGCGAGGGACGTTATGGACAATAAATAAGTATAGCTAATTTATTCAAGGCATTAGGGAATGGCAACCCTTAAGTGATAGTGAATCTCTTCAAACAGACGTTAAACTTCCAGATTTTTCCTCAGGCTCGCAAGACGTAATAATTGCATAGAAACATAAGGAGGACACACTAACAAAGGGAGTTCATACTGTTGTGTTTGAAATGATTTTAGAGGCGATGCCGCCTGAGAGAATATTGTATATAGATGATGTAGCGTATAGGTTGATCAAAGTCTTATTTCGTTTGTCCAGGAAGACTTTACCTAAATCTCGAGTCAATTTTCACTGAGGATGCTAAACAGCAGAGACGATTCATGTCTGAATAAAAATGATTTAGAAGTAAATTTAACAAAGATGATCCTTGCATAGAGTATTTAGAAGTGAAAAAATCCCTTCACACTGCAAATCGTATTTATAAAGTTATATCTAATTACAGCATTTTTTCGCTTATGCAAGTACTTATTTTAACAATACTGTCACTTTTAAATGACCACTGGATTGGCTTAACGTTCGGTGTACGATATAAGAAACGGTTTCGTATCCCGATATAAAAAATGAAAGCTGAACATGCATTGAGACCATAATCGCTTAAATCGATAGCTACCACCCAAAGGTCTTCAGTAAAAATCAATTTACGAATTCCTCATACTTATCGTCCCATAGAAAATAATAGTTAATTGAAGTAAATTGATGAGATGGAAAAAGTGCAACATAGATGAGTATCAAACCTTTCGAAAAATCGAGTGGTTTACTATCAAATAACAAAAGAAAGAGGCTTTGAATCATGCTCTAGATTAAGCCCAGTTTGCACAATTGAATAAACATTTACTTCTAACATTGTATGCTTTTGGTCATAAACATGTTTAGAGTACTGCACTAAAAAACACATATAATGCAGACTCTATTTAGTCTGGAATAAGGCTACAAAATAGTGTGGATTCCTTAATTGGCCTGTAAATTACTTATATCTGTGTTATTCTTTGTTTGGCCTACATACATACGACAAATATTCCGATAGATATCTCACTTGATAAAAAACTCGAAGTGGAGACTAAAAGAAAAAAAATGTATATATATATATATATATATATA